AAAAGGGAAATACAAAGCAGTAAGCCTCTATATTAGAAAAGGTATCATATTAATGATACCAGCATCAACATAACTAAGTTGAAAAAGAAGAACTAAATGGAAAGCAGAAGAAAACTAAAACAGCAGATCAATAAAATAGGAAACAGAAAACTCAGTGAAACCAAAAGATGATTTCTGGAGAATATTAACAAATTAATCTCTAGCTAAAGTGACAAGGAAAAAAAAAGAATTATCAGTATAAGGAATGAGAGAAGTGACATCACTACAGATTCTACAGACATCAAGAGTATAAAAAGGTAGTATCATAAATGACTCTATGCAAATAAATTCAGTAACTTGGATGAAATGGACTAATTCTACGGAAGGTACAAATTATTACTTAAAGCTCACTTAAGAAGAAATAGATAACCCAAATAGTCCTGTATCTAATTAAATAAATGTATCATTTAAAACTTCCACAAAGAAAACAAACATCAGGCCCACACAATTTCACTGGTGAATTGCCCCCAAACATTTAAGAAATAATATCTTATAGGGGTTCACCCTGACATAAGGAACATAGTAAAGATGCTTGCTCTCATCACTTCTACTCAGCACTGTACAAGATGCCACAGGCAGGAAAAAAAGGCATCCAGACAGGAAATGAAAAAAGTAAGTGTGTGTAGAAAATCTGATATCTACAAAAAATGGTGGTATCTACAAATGAGTTTAGCAAGAGTAGAGAATACAAGAACATGCAAAAATATTTGTATTTCTTTGCACTAGTAACAACTGGAAACTGAGAATTTTAAATCATCATCATTTACAATAGCACCAAAAAACATGAAATAGGGATAAATCTGACAAAAATGTACAGAAACTGTACACTGAAAACACTTCTGGAGGAAATTAAAAGATCTAAGTAAACAGAAAGGTGAGTTGTGTTCATGAGTGAGAAAACTCAAGACTGTTAGGATGTCAGTTTACCTCAAACTGCTTTACACATTCAAGTTAACTCCAATAAAATCCCAGCCAGCTTTTTTGTAGAAATTGACTCATATAAAAAAGGACATGGGAAGAGCCAAAACAACTTTGAGAAAGAACAAAGAGGACCATGACTACTGGATTTCAAGACTATTTAATATAAAATCATAGTAATTAAGACATCAGGTTTTAGGCATCTGGAAAGACAAAAATGGGTCAATAGAAAAGGATACAGTACAGAAATAGAATCATACATACAAAGATAGCTGATTTTTGACAAAGGTGCAAAGCCAATTCAATGAACAAAGGACAGCCTTTTCAACAAATGGTGCTGGAAAAAAGTTTAAGTCCATACCCCGAAACAAAAACTGCTGACTTATTTTTTGCACATATTAAAAAAAATTAACTGGGGCACCTGGGTGGCTCAGTGGGTTAAGCCTCTGCCTTACACTCAGGTCATGATCTCAGGGTCCTGGGATCAAGCCCCACATGGTGCTCTCTGCTCAGCGGGGAGCCTGCTCCCCTCCCCCCACCCCGCTGCCTATCACTTTGTCTACTTGTGATCTCTGTCAAATAAAGAAATAAATTTAAAAAAAAATTAACTCAAAAAAACTTAAATACAAAACCAAAAACTGTAAAACTTCAATCACAAATCAAAGGAGAACATCTTGTGACCTTGGGTTAGGCAAAGATGGCTTAGATATGACAAAAAAGCACGAGACATACAAGATAAAATTGGCAAACTTCAGTTCATTAGAATTGAAAACTGCTGTTCTTCAAAAGGCATTACTGAGAAAGCAAACACAAATAGTAGGAAATATTAACCATTTATCTGATTAAGGACTTATAACCAGAATGAAGACCTCTTAAAACTCAACAGTAACCCAATTCAAAAAGTGGACAAGTGATACAGAGACACATCATCCAAGATGATATACAGCTGGCAAAAAGTACATGAAAAGGGGCGCCTGGGTGGTTCAGTGGGTTAAAGCCTCTGCCTTCAGCTCAGGTCATGTTCCCAGGGTCCTGGGATCGAGCCCCACATCAGCCTCCCTGCTCAGCAGGGAGCCTGCTTCCTCCTCTCTCTCTCTCTGCCTGCCTCTCCATCTACTTGTGATCTCTGTCAAATAAATAAATAAAATATTAAAAAAAAAAAGTACATGAAAAGATAATCAACATCACAGATATTAGAGAAATGCAAATTAAAACCACAAGGAGATTACCACTTCACACCTACCAGAATGTCTATAATCAAAAACAATCACAGGTACTGGAGAGAATATGGAAGGACTGGATATCTCATACCCTACTGGTGGCAATGTAAAATACCACCACTTTGGAAAATGGGTCTGCCGTTTCTTAAAACTTTGAAAAGTTAAAAGCATATGCCTACCATATGATCCAGCCATTCCAATCAAAGGTATTTCCCCAAGAGATATGAAAGTTCCCCCAAAGACTTTTATAAGTATATCCACGCCAGCATTATTTACAATATTCAAAAACTGGAAACAACTCAAATGTTGAAGAGTTGAATGGATAAACAAACTGCTGTATATCCATAAAATGTAATATTACTAAGCAAGAAAAAGTAATGGACTATTGATAGACAACATAAGTAAATCTCAAAATAATTACACTGAGGGAAATAAGACCAAAAAAAAGGGGGGGGGTACATTTTGATTCATTTAAAATTCTAAAAAATGCTAACTAACCTGTAGTGACAGAAAGCAGATCAATGGTTGCTTGAGGAAAGGCAGGGCAAACAATACTAACAGGGGTGATGAATGCTCATTATCTTTGTTGCGGTAATGGTCTCCTAAGTGTATTCACATGTTAAAAAATTGTACACTTTAGATATGTGCAGTTTATTTTATATCAAATTTTATCTCAATAAAGCTATTTTTTTAAAAGCTCCATTTTTTGTTGCTGTTGTTTTTAAATCTTTTTTTTTTCTTAAAGATTTTATTTATTTATTTGACAGAGAGAGAGATCACAAGTAGGCAGAGAGGCAGACAGAGAGAGAGGAGGAAGCAGGATCCCCGCCAAGCAGAGAGCCTGATGCAGGCCTCGATCCCAGGACCCTCAGACCATGACCCGAGCTGAAGGCAGAGGCTTAACCCACTGAGCCACCCAGGTGCTCAAATAAAGCTATTTTTTTAAAAAGGCAAGATGTGAGCCAGTACACATGGTATGAACTCATCTGTATAAACAAGCAAGGATGCCACTGTTTGATAATATACAAACTAATAACACTTCAGGAAAAAATTGCACCAGAAAAAATTTAGCATAATTAACTACACTTGAGAAACAGGACTAGGACCCAGGGAGAAATATTTACCACTATGAATTTTAACCATGCACATTAGAAAAAAATACATATGAAAACTTAATTACTAATACACAGGCTTGACTCCCAAGCAAAAAAAATTTTTTTTTTTTAAAGATTTTATTTATTTATTTGACAGACAGAGATCACAGGCAGGCAGAGAGAGGAAGGGAAGCAGGCTCCCCGCTGAGCAGAGAGCCTGATGTGGGGCTCGATCCCAGGACCCTGGGATCATGACCTGAGCCAAAGGCAGAGGCTTTAACCCGCTGAGCCACCCAGGCACCCCCCAAGCAAAAATTCTTAACCACTACCTCAGAAAAGTTCATAAAACAAAACTTCAGTTATTCAAAGTTTTATGTTAAACAATAGATTAAAAAAAAGGTTGGCAATTATTTTCACATCATTTTCCAATTTTTTCTCCTCGAACCACTAACAAAGAAAACTGGTAAAACCAATAAACCATACCTGGACATCCAATTCTTTTTCTCATTTTTCTTGCCTCTTGTCTGACTTCCTTCTCTCCTCATCCACACTAATAGTGGGCAACTCAGACTTGTATCATTCATTCTTTTACAAAATTCCAGAGGATACCAATTTGGATGGTAAGTGTACATTCTGTATCTTGCACTTTTGGCCTATTCCAGATTTCAAATCCTTCAACTACCTCAACTTAGAAAGTATCATTGCCAAATAAGAATACCTTCCCCCGAAAAAGCTATTTCTCCCCCAATCTACGTAATATGAACTCAAAAAATGAGCCTAAATACTAAAGTATAGACAAATATCTAGTGCATTATAGGGCAGAGAACAGAAAATAAGAAAAAACAAAATAGCTCTTAAAGTATTCTAAAGAATACCACATTGTTGCAGATGAAATTTTAAGAATTCCAAAAAATATTATAGTCACCATCCTCTCAAGACTACTCACACTTGAAAGGGGGAAATGTCATTGCATCAACAAGTATTTGTGTATAAGGCCTGTAAGAATGTGTCAGGTTTGAAAAAATTTTAAAAAAGGGAAGACAAGGACCATGCCCCAACAAGGTAGACAGGTTTGCAAAAATTATAACATATTAATCTGTTAAAATATGCAAGGATTGAAGGAAATAAAAGACCTAAGCATTAGAACTAAGGTCTAAAGGAGTAGTTTTCCTGGCCAGAAAGTGAGGAAAGATTCCAAATTATCTGTACCATAAGGCCTATTTTCCTTTAATGGAAAGCCAAACCAGCTTTTAACTTCCGACTCTAATTTGAAGCTAATTGCCTAAACAAGTTTAAGTATCAAGATAACTGATTTCTAATGTAGCTCATTGTTGACATACATATTTTAGTACTCATAATCAAAAGTTAAAAAAAATCTTAGATTAACAAAATTACATGATTTAGGTAATCATGTATCTGTCCATTTAAATCCATAATTTTCCCTCAGAAAACTGGGATATCATTTATATATTCATAAAAAGCCATGTCTGATAGCGTTTTCAACCCTAAACAGCATTCATAACTACTTTTTAAAATGTTCTCAGACTGCTTTTCTAGAAAAACTTAGTTTCTGTCTATTTAGATTATAAACTATATAACCCAACTTTTTTAAAATTCAACAAAGCACTTTACACTCTCGTTAACTGTAACTTCAAAAGCTAACTGAAAATTTCCATCAATGGTAACAGATTCAGCAATTCAGTTTTCATTAGTTTCAATTTTTTCCTACCTTCACGCCAACTGCAACCTCAGTGACAATTCTGTGAAGAAAAAAAATAGTTTCAACCTCATTATTTTTCTAATGATCACTGTTGGACTCTAAAACTTTTTAGGGTGGTTCATCATTCATAAATCATCCACTCATCATGCAAATGGAAAACAAATCAGTGACACTTCCTTGTACTATTTTCAACTGTTTTCTAGAAATTACTTTCAAACTTGAGATGAAATTCCCTAAACCTCCTGTATTTTTTAAATAACCCTTTAAATATTAAAAAAAAACAAAACCCCAAACACTATAATGCCATTTACTCAAAGCTTGTACACTTAAATTATTAATTTAAAACTTAAACCAACTCTTTATCTTGATAGAATCAGGAAACATTAATTCCACTGCCAAGTTGTCATCAATTTCCATGTTTATCTGGTGAAATAGTGAACTTCTCTAGATTTACGTTTCATGTGGAAAACAATCTCTAGATAACCTCTAGGATAATGTAAGTTTTGTTACTCTGTTAACTTTGATATGGTCTATCCTTAATATCTTTTTAAAACACTAAACTCCAAACACTTTATCAAAATAAATTTATATTTTATTTGGCTCTTCGTATGTTGTCACTGATTCTAATAAATGTGCTCTTTAGATGATACGGTTTTTACAACCCCCAGAACGGCTGAATACAGCTATATTTTCGCCCTCAAGGGTGCCTCTTTTCTAACAATTAGCTAAATCACTATGAGTCTTTTCAGATGTAGAGCATTAAGTACCAGGGAGACCCGGGTCATTATCATTTCCCAAACCCCTTGCCTCACGTCCCTCAGCATTCTATCTCCACTCGGGCTCTCAAAGATGCAGCACGGGTCTTGCTTTTTGTAGTTGTTTCTGTTTTTCCGGAAACTGGTCAAAGTGACAAAAAAAAAAAAATGGCCCTGTGTTGACTTATCTGCTCTTGTTTCTGCCGTGGCTGTTGGCCTTTGCCCATGTGACTGATGTCGACCACAAACACTTGGTTTTTTAAGATGATTTAATTTCTGGGCCCTTTTGCCAAGCCCTGAATGTTCTTGGGCCCCCACAAAAAGGCATTTTTTCTGTCTCCCGCCCCCACTACCAGACTCAAGTGAAAACAAAGGAGTATGACATCTGCCTTCCCCCTTCCTCGCGCCGCCGCACGCCCTCCCCGCCCCCCCCTTCCCCAGCGGCTCCCACTTAGCTTTCCCCCGAGCTCCCGCCACCGGCATCTCCCCCTGCCAGGGCGGGCCGGGCGAGGCCGGGGAGGCTGGGGTGCATACAGATGCCGCTCTTCTCTCCCCTAACAATCCCCACACAGGCCTCTGTGGCACTACACTCGCTTCCACAGGCGCGGCTACCCAGGGTTCGGGTCCCAGGTTTACGGATCGAAATGGCTCCTAAGAGGGGGCAGGGACGGGCCAGGCGTTCTGGGGTTCCCGCCCCATCCCCCGCCGTCAAGCCGGTGCCTGCTCCCCCTCCGAGGTCGTCGCCCCCGCCATCGCCCCAATGCCTCTCCAGTCTACAAGCCCGCTTTTTTCTCATTTTCTCGACCGGAGCCCGCCGGGGGAAACGAAGGGAGGGGTGTGTGCGATGGGGCGGGGGTTGGGTAACGGCAGCCAAGCCCAAGGAGGGGCCGCCGGAGGATTTCTGGACGACCCCGGACCCGGCCGAAGAACCGTACAGCTCCCCTCGTACACACCTCCTCGCTGGCCCCATTACATACCCGTCCATTGCCGAACCGGACAAAGCTTCGCTCACAAGAACCGAGCCACGCAGCCAGCGAGACACACAAGCGGCGAGAAAATGGCGGCCAGGGCCTGACGGAAATTGCCGAAGGTGCCGGAGCGCACGGGGCAGCGCGCGGCCGCGGCAGCGGCGGAAAGACCCGAGCGCGCCGGCGCCCGGCTGCGGGAGGAGAGCGGCGGGGCGCGGGGACGAGGGGGAGTGGGCGCCGCCGCCGTCGCTTCCTCCGCGCTGCCGCGCGCTTGGGGCCCTCCGCCCTCCGCCCTCTGGGCTCGGGCCTACTGCTGTAGAGCGCGGCGGCTTGCCTGCCTTTTGCACGCTCCTCTGAGAAGTCCCTGATGTCTTTCCTGAGAGGCGTGGGTGGTGCACCTCTCAACCCCCACACCCACTGCCCCGCACCTTAGGAGCGTGGTCCTTGAACCGCGGGACTACCACAGGCAGCCTCCACTTTTCACTCCAAACCAGGTCCTAACTTGGCTACCCTCGATCTACCCGAGCCAAGGAAAAACTATTTGATAGTTTTCCTTTTACGCCATCTTTTATTTGCAGACCCTCTCCATCCTCTAAAACAAAAACAGATAGAAAAAACAAAACACCTTTACCCCATTGAAAGAGACCACTGTTTATTAGGTATAAGACCCAAACCTAGGCTTTTGCTTCCAGACACTTCCACGCCAGCTGGAGAAAAATGTGATTCTCACCTCAGCTGATGATTAGTGGGCACCTGTAGGAAATAGTCACAATGCCCTAGATGGAAAAGAAGACCGGTTGAGCCGTGTGATAAAGAGTAGGTACGAAAAATGCTATGATAAGTTAGGATCTATCATTTGGGGGCTTCAAAGGGAAAGTAGGGATGGGAGTGGTACCTCAGTCTTCACCATTGGTTAGACATGAAAGGAACGTTAAAATGGGCTACACATATTAACTCCCTTTTCCGTGTATCTCAGTCCCCATTTTAATTCTAATATCATACTGGACCTTTTCTTTAACATGTTTTTTCAGAGGTTCAACAAAGTTTGAACAAGCATCCCTTTGGGGGAAATTTGCTCAGTGGGTGACTACTTTGCCAGCAATTTGCCCTCTTCCCCACCCATCACCCCCAACCACAACACAAATAGAAATGTACTTAGAATCCTGAGAAAAGAAAAATATTCCCTATATTTCTCCAGTTACTCTCAGTGTCCGGTCTGGTTTTCCTGTGCATCCTTCATGCGACCCTCTTACCCCTTTATTAATTGGAATTTCGCTGTACTAAATGCTACTTTCTGTATAATTCATAAAATTATATTATTTTTAAGGCGGACAAACCTTAAAGAGCATCTTGTCCAAATATTTTGCTATGGAACTATTCAAAGCACACAAATGTTAAAAATTCTTGACTTACCTCAGGGATTGGCCATCCTTAAAAATATATATTTCCGGGGCACCTGGGTGGCTCAGTGGTTTAAGCCTCTGCCTTCGGCTCAGGTCATGATCTCAGGGTTCTGGAATCCAGCCCCCCATCGGGCTCTCTGCTCAGCAGGGAGTCTGCTTCCCTCTCTCTCTCTGCCTGCCTCTCTGCCTACTTGTGATCTCTCTCTGTCAAATAAAATAAATTCTTAAAAAAAAAATATATATATGTATATATATATATTTCCACAATACCTTCCCTTTGCCTTCACCATTGACTTAACAATACATAAGGGGCCCTTTATATGCCGTTAATAATCACTTTTCACCTATTTGTGGTTTTGTACATGTATTTTCCTTCAACAATTAATATGTAAGCTCCCAAAGGGCAAGAACTCTAGCATAATTTTCTGTATTCATTGACTCAATCAATATTGATCTATTGGCAAAGACAAACTATCTTATGAGGTGAGGCCTGTCCGTAGGTGCCAAAAGAAGTTACAGTATTCACAAAAACACGTTTTTCTTTGCTTTTTCTCCTAATAAAGTGCAAGACTATGAACAAACAATAGTCATATGCTTGCTTATTTAAACCCGTCACCAAGTAGAAGAGATTTACGATTCTTTACAAGTCAAGTCATATAAAATACTAGATGAAATAACAAAGTCAAGTAAGAGGGAATAAGATAAAAGGACAAAAGTATAGTATGGAGTCAGGAATAAGGCTAATGCAACAATGTATATCACAAAAGCACGTTGATTAAAAAGTGGGTTCAAATTTGAGCTCTTTTATTTAGCAGCTGTGTGACATTAGGCATGTTCATTAACCTCTCCAGGAAAAAGTTTCCATTACTGAAAATAATGGGATTTACTTTACTAAAAATGAAAATAGGGTTAAAAATAGGACCTTTATTCTAGATGGTGGTGAAATCGAAATGTCTTAATGTATGTAAAGCACCTCTCTAGTTCAGTGATGGGTTACAGTAAATAATAAAGGGTGCTATAATCATATTTATTATTTTTGTTATTAACTATTATTATTCACTTGACAAGAAACTGGTAACAAATTTAGCTCTTGGATTGTTAACAGCCAACAATATTGGTATAAATAAATCTATATAGAGATTTTCACAAAGGTTAAACATGTCACTGAAGTAATTAGATTGGCTGGTATCTAGTGAAATAAATCTGGGAAAATGTCATAGATAAATTTCGGAAACCTCATCCAAATCTAAATTTGTATGATTTTATGAGTTAACTATGGGGCAGATTATTAATCTCAACATTAGCAGATGGCCAACCTTTGTAATATATGACAGGATTATATTAGTGTTTATGGATTCCTAACAAAATAAGGCAATAAAAAGTGAAGTGCCTGTACAGTATTTTTTTCATACCCATATCTTTTTTCAGTGTAATGATTTGTTCTTTCCCTTCTGAGTGGTAAATGTTTTGACCTTTTACAGAGATTTACACTTATGTGAACAATGATTAAATCTAAATTTCAGTGTATGCTAAGCCAGAATGAGATCTAATAGGGATGCAATAAAAGTAGGAAATAGGATCTTGTTCATAATGTTCTGATTTTATTCCTATCTCCACCTTTCATCTGCTTATAGTACCAAAGACTTCCTTTAACTTTTTCATAAAGCAGTTTCTTCTTATGAGAAGAAGGAGTAATAATATGATCAATTAGATCAGGGTTTTTGGTATGTATTTTTGAATAGGTGATATAAATTCAAAATAGGGAAAGTTAATTCAAAAGATATAAAAGCGTATATAAAATGCCCAGAAAGGGCAAATATAGAGAGGCAGAATTAGATTAGTGATTGCCTAGGACTGGGAGTGAAAATAGGGACTAACTATAAATGAACATAGGTTTATTTTTAGGCTGATTGAAATTTTCTAGAACTAGATTGTAGTGGTAGTTGTACAATATACTAAGTATACTAAAATTCATTGGCTTATACAGTTACTATTGATGAATTTCATCATATATAAATTATATATCAATAAAGGAGTTACAAAAATAAAAAACATATATCTTCTACTCCTGCTCCTCAGCCACTGTATTCCAGAAGCAACCCATGTTACCAGTTTACTGCATAATGTTCTAATGCATAAGTTGATTACATATATAGTTTTAGTTTTTATTTTCAAGTAATAATTGCAGTACACACTTTTCTGCAACTTATGTTTTAACTTGAGAAATATGTCATAGAGATCTTCTTTCCTTATCAGTATATTTAGAACTGTCTCATTCTTTATATATGGCTACATAATATTCTACCAAATGAGTAAATCATGATTTATTTCACTGGATCTCATTGATGAACATTTAGGTTGCCCCCAGTATTATTTTTTACAAGCAATTCTGCAATCAGTATTCTTGTTGCTAAGTCATTTTCCATATGTGTGAATATATTTGCTGGAAAAATACCACATACTAAATTCCTGAGTAGAATGCATTTTAATTTTTTTTTAAGATTTTATTTATTTATTTGACAGAGAGAGACACAGGGAGAGAGGAAATGCAAGCAAGGGGGAGAGAGAGGGAGAAGCAGGCTTCTTGCTGAGCAAGGAACCCAATGCGGGACTCAATCCCAGGGTCCTGGGATCGAGCCCCACATCAGGCTCTCTGCTCAGCAGGGAGCCTGCTTCCCTTCCTCTCTCTGCCTGCCTCTCTGCCTGCCTGTGATCTCTGTCTGTCAAATAAATAAATAAAATCTTTAAAAAAAAAAAAAAAAAAAGCTACCAAATTGTCTTCCAGATCCTTGAGCCCTTGTGAGAAAATACTAGTAATTCCTATTATAAACATGAGGACTGATTTCTTTAATATATAAGGAGTTCCTACAAATAAAAAAGTCAACAACGAAATAGAAAAATAAGCATACAAATAGAACATGAATAAATACTACAGAAAAGTAAAAACAAAAATGCTCAACCTCACTTATAATAAGAGAAATTCAAGATAAAACTGTACTAAGATACCCTTTTTCACCTGTCTCCCTCCCCAGCAGACATAGCACAAAGCTTCCTAAGTACTGAGAACAAGGATTCCTTTCCACACTATCAATCTGTATAAAATAGAATAAACATACTTCTAAATATACTATATTTGTATGTCAAAAAGTTTGTTCCCTATGCATTCTTCTTGGAAATCTTCTGGAAGATGTATTTCCCAATGAGGGAATACATCAATAAAGAACGTATGGTATCCATGAAGCCAGAGGTCCAACATATAGAGAGGAAAAATAAATCAGGTATTGATCAAAGAAGACCTAGGCCAAGAGCTCTACTGTGGTACAGCAGTCCTTGGGTTCCAATACAATGTGAGACCAGAAGGCCACAGGAAAGATCTCTCCAAGGAAAAGTATGGAACTTATATAGACCAAAAATGTCTGACTATATTGAGCAGAGTTTTGTAGTGCTGTTGGCAAGCTTAGGGGAAAAAAAAATTAACTCTGAGATAAATAAAAAGTTGTAAGTGAATAAATCACAATGTACTCTATGGATCAATAGTAAAAATAGTTATATCTTTATAATAATGTAAGCACTGACTATTAATAAAATTAAGGTTTTGAAATAATTTCATGGGAGGATAGAAGAGACGTATGGATGTGTGCAAGTGTGTGTG